CATGATTTGTACCTTTTCCATAACTACTCATATGCTTATGCATAAACATATTTTTAAAAAATTTTATTTGTTATTTTAATGAAATGTTACAGATAGTGTGGAGCTTTATGAATTCATTCTTGCACATTTTCTTCCTTCCTCCTCCCTTTCTCCTCTTCCAGAACACTTTACAATGTATTTCTTCTTCCAAATCTGTCATACATACAGTGCCTGCTCATGTATTCCTTTTCTATAGGTTCCCTTTATCTATTCCCAATTAAGTGCTTATCATCTATCCATTCTTTTTCTATTCTCCTCCAAATCTGCATGAAAGTCCTATTTTATAATAACAGTGTTTTGCAGTATTTGTCCCTTTGTTACTGAGATATTTTATGCAGCATAATGTTTTCCAGGCTCACCAATCTTGTGGAATGTTTTATGAGTTCCTTGTTTTTCAATGCTGTGTTCAATTGCATGAAAGTATCATAGATTTACTATCCATTTATTTGTTGATGGACACTTGAATTGCTTCCATATTTATGCCATTGTGAAAAATGCAGCAATAAACATGGGTGTGATTCATGACTGCTTGAGTCATGACTCTGTTTTATTACTCTGGTTTCTTTAGGGTATATACCCAGTAGTGGAATTGCTAGGTATATGGTGTTTGTATTTCCAATTTATTAAGAAAGTGACAGCCAGCCTCCAATAGTGGTTTTACCCTTTTACATTATCACCAACAGTGAATAAGAGTTCTAATCTCTTTACAACCTCACGTGTATACGTTGACTGCTGCCTTCTTGAACTTTGCTATGGTTGCAGTAATCAGATGTTATCTCATAGTTGTTTGACTTGCATCTGTCTGAAAGGTGGGGATTTTGAACATTTTTTTCATGTGTTTGTTTGCCATCTGAGTAAAACTTCTTTGGTGAAATGTCTATTCACATTCTGTGCCCATTTTGATTTGGTTGTTTATCTTTTTTCTTGTTGAAGTGATGGAGTATTCTATAAATTTTAGATGTTGTTGTTGTTGTTGTTGTTGTTGTTGTTGTTGTTATGTGCCGTTGAGTCGCTTGTGACTCAGAGTGACCCTATGTATGTACAACAGCCCTAAACTCAGCTCTGTCCTGTGCCAATCACACTGTCTCCAACACACCCATCCCAATTACCCCAGTCACTGAATCAATACACCTCATAGAGGACCTTCCTCTACTGTGCAGCCCCCCACCCTCCCAAGCATGATGTCCTTCTCCAAGGACCGGTCCCTCCTTACAATATGTCCAAAGTATGTCAGATGAAGCCTCAGAATCTTTGCCTCCAAGCAGCTTCCCAGTTTAACACTCTGCAGGATGAATCTGTTTGTTTTCCTAGCAGTTCATGGTACCCTCAACACTCTCCTCCAGCACCACAGCTCAGTCATTGTCCAACTCTCTGATGCATAACAAGTGATTGCAAAGACAAGGGCCTGTATCAGTATTGCTCTTCAGTACTTTGGAAAGTTCTCTAACAGCAGATTTTCCCATCACAATACGTCTTTTAATTTCCTGGCTACTGGTGCCAAGAGTGTTGACTGTGGAGCAAAGCAAACTGAAGCTGTGAACAATCTCAATCTCTTCACCATCCATCCTGATGCTGCCAATTGGTCCAGTGGTGAGAATCTTTGTCTTCTTGACATTGAGCCTCAATCCATATTGAAGGCTGCAGTCCTTGACCCTCTTCAGCAAACGTTTCAGGTCCTCCTCAGTTTCAGTAAGCAGGATTATGATATCTGCATAACACAGATTGTTGATAGGTCTTCCACCAATCTTGACCCCACATTCCTCCTCAAAGAGCCCAGCCTCCTGGATAATCTGTTCGGCATACAGGTTGAAAAGGTATGGAGACGGACACATCCCTGGCTTACATCCTTCCCAACTTTGAACCATGCAGTGTTTCCTTGCTCTGTTCTGATGATTGCCTCTTGGTCCAAGTATAGGTTTCTCATTAGCACGATCAAGTGTTCTGGTATTCCCATTCTTCTCAGAGTCAGCCACAGTTTGTTATGATCCACACAGTCAAATGCCTTTGCATAGTCAATGAAACAGATAGACATTCTTCTGGTACTCCCTGCTTTCAGCCAAGATCCAGCTAACATTAGCTACAATATCCCTAGTACCACGACCCCTTCTAAACCCAGCCTAGATTTCTGACAATTCTCTGCTCATATGCTATTCCAGTCGTTTTTGGATAATCTTCAGTAGAATCTTGCTTGTGTGTGACATTAATAATATTGTTCTATAGTTTCCACACTCTGTTGGATCACCCTTCTTTGGGATGGGAACAAATATGGATCTCATTGGCCAAATGGTTGTTCTTCAGATTTCTAGGCACAACTTGGTGAGCACATTCAGGGCAGCATCTGTTAGCTGAAATATGTTAATTGATATACCATCTATTCCTGGGGCCTTATTTTTTGCTATTTCCTTCAAAGCAACCTGAACTTCTTCCTTCATCACCATAGGTTTTTGTTCATATTTTGTTTCATGAAATTCTTCTGCATCTTCCAATTCCTTTCAATACAGTATATTCTTTCCATCTTCTTTTAATACTTCTAGGAGCCTCATAGAAAATATGCTATCATCAAATATTTTTTCACAGTCTGTGGATTTACTTTTCACGCTGTTGGAGAAGATTTTTATATGCATAGGGATTTGGTTCTTAGAAGGTCCATTCATCTATTTTATTCTCTCCTCATTATGTTTTTTATTATTCTTGGAAATTTGCTCATGCTGTGAATTATGGTCTCTGGAGTTGTTCCTAGCTTCTCTTTGATGAATTTTATAGTCTCTGCTATTACTTGTAGATCCCTGATCCACCTTGAGTTGGTTTTTGTTTTGGTGTGAGTCTTCCTTATCTTACTGAGATAATGTCCCAATTTTGCCAAAGCCATTAATTAAAGTGGCTGTCACTTCCACACTTATAGTTGATCTTGTTTCCTATAAAAAATCATTTGATCATAGTTTGTTGATGTTATTGTTGTTCAATGCCATCACGTCACTTGCAACTTTTAGAGACTCTCTGCACAATAGCTCTGAAGCCTATCCCATCCTGAGTCAGTCTCACTGACCCGGACATCACAACACCTATAACCACAGATACTGTGCCAATTCATCTCATCAATAATTTCTCAATCTATTTGACTGTGATTAGACATCTGAACTGTTTACATGTTTGTGCGATGGTGAATAGCACTATTATGACCATTGGTGTACAAATCTTTGTGCCTCAGTTCTCTTTTTCACAGTGTATAGTCCAAGTAGTGGAATAGCTGCGTCTTTTGGAATTTCTATGTTCAACTTTTTGAGAAAGTGTCAAACTGCCTTCCAGAGTGGTTGTTCCATTTTCCAATTGCACCAACAATGTATAAGAGTTTCTGTCTCACCACACCTCACCAACATTTATTAATCCTTGTTGTGTTGAACTTTGCCACTGCTACTGGAGTGAGATGGTATCTCATTGTGGTTTGAATTTGCATCTCTCTTATTGCCAGTGATTTGGAGCATTTCTTTATATGTCTGTAGGCCATTCACCCTGGAGGATCAGTGCTGAGACCCTAATCTTCTTTTTCACTAGTTTGTGCTCCATCTCTTTAGTTCTGCTCATCTATCCTTACAATATGTTTACAGCTTCTGAGATGGTTGTGTTAATGTTCTCAATTGCTGTTTCTTGTTTTTCTAGGGTTTATAATGCCTCCTTTGTTTATCTTCATTGTCTTTCATTGTTGTGGGTTTTGTTGTTGTTGTAGAATCCTGCATTCTTTGATGTTTTCTTTCATTTATTGAAAATACTCTTTGTTCTTTTGAATTCTGTGTCAGAAAATTCAGACTTTCTGGTTTCAAGAAATACATTGATTCTGTTTCTATCGCATTTTTGGTGGTGATATATTGTTTTGGTTTTGCGTAGGTTGTGAGGCAGTCTGCTTCTACTATGTCTTTGCTGTCAAAAAGGATTTTTCCTCCCTTCCACTCCCCCCCTGGGGCCCTAGTATGTCCTGGTGTCTGATAACCTTGGCTGTGGAGCTCACTCCTTCAGAGAAAGGAAGTGAAGTTCACCCTGCCTCGATATCTCTCTAGCCTCTGTACTTGGGGGAGATGTGCTTCAGTTCAGGAACTCAAAACTCCATTAGAGACAACTCACCTTGCCTGTGATCCTTTCTCTCTAGTCTTGTGGTGCAGTTTCCTGGAGCTGAGGGATGAAAGAAATTATTCTCTTTTTCCTCTTTGGTCCACAAATAACTTTTCTGGGCCTACGGTGCCCATTGGGGCCGGGAGGTGGGGAGGGGATTAGTTCTTCTTCTGCCTTGGTCTGGGAAGATAACTTTGGCTCAGGAGCACACCCAAAAGGGTACTCAAGGAGAACTTGTCCTACTTCTGTTGTTTGCTCTCTGGTCCCACAGCAGCAAAGTTTCCCATGGCTATGGAGTCCCCTGTATGAAGGCAATTTCCTCAACATAGTGACAAGTATATATGCACAACCAAGAGCCAACATCATTCTCAATGGAAAAAGACTAAAAGCATTTTCCTTGTAAACAGGGACCAGACAAGGATGCTCACTGTCACCACTTCTATTCAGTGTTGTATTGGAAGTGTTTGTTAGGATAAAACAACAAGAGAAAGAAATAAAAGGCATCCAGATTGACAGAGAGATGGTCCAACTGCTATATGTAGATGATATGATAGTGTACACAAAAAACCCCAAAGACTCAACAAAAAAACTTTTAGAGTTAGTTGGTTAATTTAATAGAGTGGCAGGATATAAGATAATTAAATTTTATTGCAATTTAATATTTAGTAAGCATTTTCACATATTTTACCACACTTTGGCTAAACTAATCTGTCAGATTATGATAAGTTATATGCAGTGTTAAGTATTCACAAAAATGTGAGTGAAGAGGTGATGGTATAAGCAAGGGGAAAAACAAAGTTCTTATGGAAAAAATGCAGAAAAATTCAAAATAGCCTTTTCATTCTGCTTTGTTACAGGAATATCAAATTGATATATTTTTTGCTCAGACATGGACAGACAACCGGCTTCAATTTAATAGCTCTATGAAGATCCTTACTCTGAATAGTAATATGGTGGGTCTAATATGGATCCCAGACACCATTTTCCATAATTCTAAGACTGCACAGGCTCATTGGATAACCACACCCAACCAGCTTCTCAGAATCTGGAATGATGGGAAAATCCTCTATACCTTAAGGTAAGTTGCTAACTGGATCATTAATTACTTACCAAGTAATTTTTTATCCCATCATCAACCCCTGGAATAGTTTTGTTTGCTAATATTGAGCTTCTGTAATGAGTGAGACCTCAAATGTACATTATGTTTCATTCACACAGTGAAATGCTATGAAACATGCAGAAGCAGTGATTTTTGCAAATTACTACCTAAAATGGGAAGGACTGGAGAGAATTATGCTAAGTGAACTAACTCAGTCTCATAAAGACAAATACTGTATAGGACCATTATTGTGGACAGTGTATGAGATCCAAGGAGGAGAATGGAGGCTTAAACATAGGGTCACACAATTTGATGGGTGGAGGGAAGGACTGGAAAAGGAAAGAAGAAAGTTCTGGTGTGAAAAAAACAGTATACGAACTTTGTGTGTAAACCAATATAAAATTTTGCCTAACTTGAGAAGGACTGAAGAGCATTATGCTGAGTGAACTAACTCAATCCCACAAGGACAAATATTGTATAAAACCACAATTGCAGAGTGAGTATGAGAATCTAAGGGTTAATGGAGGGTGCAAGCAGATCGGTGAGGATGTGTGTGGGGAGGGGGAAATTAATCATGGGGGTTGTACAATTTCATGGGTGAGGGGGTGAGGGAAATAGGAAGGATCTGGTATGAGAAATAATGTAACTGAATTTTGTCAATAAACTAGTATTAAAAAAACCAACCAAACAAACAACAAAAACCCAGCCTCTGAAAACCCTATAAACAGTAGAAGAACGCAAATAGTTATATTATTGAGTCATAGATCCCAGACTGGAAATCAACCAAAAAGAGAAAAAATAATGACAAACATTCTTTAATAATTGGAACATGGCATTTCAGTTGTTTGACTCCTGGAAAACTACAAATTGTGAAAAATGAAATGGAGCACATGAATGAACATCCACATTCTAGGCATTAATGAGATGCGATGTACAAGATTTGGCCACTTTGAATCAGATGGTATACTATGGTATACATGATATACTATGCTGACAATGCATGGTGTTGCATTCATAGTCAAAAAGTCAATTTCAAGTTCTGTCCTGAAATATAGTGTTGTGAGTGATAAGGTGTTATCCATAAACATACAAGGAAACTTGTTAATATGACTATTATTCAAATATATGCTCCTAGGCTGCCCTGAAGGAGGTGGCAAAAGATAAAGCCCCAGAAATTATTGGAATACCAATTGATGTATTTCAACAAACAGATGTTGCTATGCATGTGCACTCCAAGTTGTGCCAAGAAATCTGGAAGTCAATTACTTGGCCAACTGACTAGAAGAGATCTATGTTTATTCCTATTCCCAAAAAGGTCATTCTGACAGAATGTGGAAACTACTGAACAATATAACTATTATCACACACAAGCAAAAGCCTGTTGAAGATTATCCAGAGACAGTCGAAACAGTACATTGACAGAGAACTACCAGAAATACAAGCTGGGTGTAGAGGAGGTCATGACACTAGAGACATTGTTTGCAATGTCAGATGGATCATGGCAGAGAGCAAACAAAGAGTACCAGAGGAAAGTCTATCTGTGTATCATTGACTATGCAAAGGCATTTGACTTTGTCGATCACAACAAATTGTGACTAATCTTTAGGAAAATAGGAATCCCAGAACACCTGATTGTGCTTATGTGAAACTTATACTTGGACCAGGAAGCAGTCCTCAGGACAGAACAGGGAAACACTACATGGTTCAAACCAGGAAATGAGTGCCTCAGGGATGCATCCTAGCTCCATACACTTTCAATCTTTTTGCAGAAGAGATCATTCAGAAAGCAGTGCTTTATGAGGAGGAATGTGATATCAAGACTGGAGGAAGACTCATCAACAATCTATGTTATGCAGATGACACAACCTTGCTTGCTGAAACTGAAGAAGACCTGAAGCGCTTGCTGTAAAAAATAAAAAACTGTAGTCTTTGATATGGATTGAAGCTCAACATCAAGAAGACAGGGATTCTCACAACTGCACCAATTGGCAGCACAATGATAGATGGAAAAGAGACTGATGTTGTTAACAATTACAGTTTGCTCAGATCCACAATCAACACTCTTGACACCAACAGTCAGGAAATCAAAAGACAAATTGCACTGGGAAAATCTGCTGTCAGGGACCTTTCCAGAGTACTGAGATGCAATGATGTCAGTCATCGAGAGACTAAGGTATGCCTCATCCAGGCCATAGTCTTTGCAATTACTTGTTATGCTTCAGAGAGCTGGACAATGATTAAAGATGACAGAAGAATTAATGTGTCCAAGTTGTAGTGTTGTATAAGAGTCTTGAACATATGATAGCCTGACAAGAAAATAAATAGGTCTGTCTTGGAGAGGATGAAACCAAGTTTCTCCTTAAAGGCTAGGATTTTGAAGCTATAGCTTACATACTTTGAGCACATGGCTAGAAGAGACAGGTACTTGGAGAAGGACATCATACTTGGAAGGGTGGAGGGACAGTGCAGGAGAAGAAGAACAGAAGAGATGGAATGATACAGTAACTGGGACAATGGAGGTTGGTGAGTCATAATTAGTGAGACTGGCTCAAAACAGGGCAGGGCTCAGAGTTGCTGTACATAGGGTTACAGGTGACTTGATGCCACTTAACAACAACAACAACAGCTAGCTAAAGTCAAAGAGGTGGAAATTAAAACTTTTTACCAAATCCTGCAGTCTGAAATGAACCAAACAAGCGATTAAAATTCCTTCATAATAATTGACATTATGATTATAATAAGAGTTCGGAATGAGGGTTGTAGAGTGGAGTACACTCGAGGTGGGGGTGGGGAGGGTGCGCTGGATTGTATACCAATGAAGGAGTTTTTTCTTTTGCTTTTCAAGGGGAAAAGCGAACTGAGAGTGGGGGTGGGGTGGGCGGGGAGAAAAGTGCAACAATGAATGGAAACCCAAAACATCTGTAAATGTTCATTGAAATTAATTAAAAAAATGCTGAACAATCACTAAAAAAATTGGAAACAATGAAGAAGGAATAATAGTTGGAAAATAAGAGCTGGGAGATAAAAATGAGGCTGTAAGTAGAATGATCAAATTTTTTCCCCATGATTTATTCACTGCAAATACCTTTCTCAAAAAACATGAGCGATGGACTTTATTTAATGGAATTCATTGGAAAGATTGAGTATATCTATGGAAGAAATCATTGGAGAAGCTCTCATATCAGCATTCAAAACTAGGCCAGGTGCAGATTGTGAGTCAGAACAGCAATTACTCATGTGAGAGTTCAAACTGAGGCTGAAGAAAATGTTAAAAAGTCCATGATAACCAAAATAAGATCTTGAATCTATTCCATCTGAATTTCAAAATCATCTTAAGAATAGGTTTGAAGCATTGAACACAAATTATCGGAGACCAGATGAGCTGTAAGTTGATATCATCCATGAACAGAATGAAAGGTTATTACAAAGATAGAAGAGAAATAAAAAAACAAAATGAATCTAAGAAGAGACTCTGAGAATTTCAAGAGAGTATCAAGAAGGCAAAACAAAGGGAAAAGATGCCCAAGTCAAAGAGCTGAACAAAAGATTTTAAAGGGAACCATAAAAACAGAAAGAAAAGTATAATGAAATGTCCAGAGAGCTGGAAATGAAGAATAAAATGTGAAGAATTTGTTCCGCATTTCTCAAGCTGAGAGAACTGAAAAACAAATTTAAACCTGGAGTCATAACATGAAAAGGTGCTATCGACAATATAATGAAAGAACCAGGAAGCAGGGAAACTTTGCCTTTCCTAAAGTCCTTCAGGTCTCTCTGGTCTGCAATGCAGCCCTGCAGGAACTTCACCTTAGTGTAGATCCTTCTCCCAAGCTCTGTTGTCCTCCTTCATCTACAGAGTGGCTGAGTAGTGTGAGATCAGGTGCTTCACTCCAGTAATTTCTATCATAGGGGTTTCAAGTCAAACCTCTTTCTCGCAGCTCAACATCCCAGCTGTGAAAGTATTTCCTTTATTTGCAGGTCTCTTTACCAAATGCTTTTGTTCTATTTGGCCCCTAAACTGTACCCGCAGTTGTGGAGACAAGGATCCCCAAATGCAAAGACCATTCCTCAGGGGTGTTTCAGTCCCTTCTCTCCCCAGCATGCACCTGAAAGTGCTGGATCGGGGAAGAGTGTCTCACCTGACAAAGCCTAATATCTTCCTGTGTCTCTGTAGTGGTATGAGATCAGGAGCATGAACTTAAGTAGTGTGTGTGCAGAGGAGTGTCAAGTCAGCTCTCCTTGTTGCAGAAAGCTGAAAAAGTCTTCCCCGTTCTTATAGTGTCTGTGCCAAACTCATGTCCTTTTTGTCACCTGGTATGAACCTGCTGTGTCAGAGGCAGAGTACCACAAGTAGAGTATAGGGTTGTTTGTTTTGTTTTTTTTAAAAAAACAACAAACCAACAAAACCTTAAGATTTTCCTCTTAGTATGAAAAGAAAATTATCAAGAAGTAGAGAGGATACAGCCAACACAGTAATGGAAATAACAGAAATACATGAAAATGTAATACAGAACATTAAGACCGAATAGCAGAACTGGCCAACACACTGGAGGGACAAAAAAGTAGAAGAGAAGAGACGGAGCAGAGAGTCAGTGAGCTGCAAGACAAGAACCTCAATGGAAACATTGGAATGACAAGCACCTCTGTGGAAACCTCAATGGAAGAAAAATCAGAACTGAGCTATTAAAAACAAATAAATAACATATTAGAATCATGTGGGATGACACTAAAAGAAACAACATGTGAATGATTAGAATTCCAGAATATGAGCGCAGGAAAATCACTGATAAAATTGTGGAAGTGGTAGTTGTTGTTGTTGTCATTATTATGTGCCGTCAAGTCACCTGTAACTCATAGTGACCCTAAATACAACATCCCTAAACCCTGCTCTATCCTCTACCAATCTCACTGACTCTGACAGCCTACCTCCATTACCCCAGTCACTGAATCAACCATCTGATAGAGGGTCTTCCTCTACTGCA